GAACTGTTCATAAAATCTGATCTCCGACTGCGAAGTGACTAACAGGTGGGCAGGTATACAGTGTGGAGACCCAGGATGAAGAGATGAATCACATCCCGAGCAGGACAGAGAAGGACAGTGTGAGATTTCATCAGGCTACTCAGAAGGGCATGCAACTGAAAACTTATGTACTACTTAGTTCTGGAATTTTCCATTTAGAATTTTCAGACCAAAGCTGACCACAGGTAACTAACTGCAGACAGGAGGGAACTATGTTTGGTCAGTATAAAAATCTATGAACCTGTCACCTGTGGTGAATTTCCCACTACAGGGAAAGCAGAACTTTTATTGTTTGTACCTGTTATGTTTGGAATTGTCAGCACACAGCAATACTTGATTCAAAGAGAAATCTCTATAAAGGAGTTCCTTCATCTACCCACTCACAAAAACCTTGGCTGTGTAGGGCTCTCCAACTGTTATATCCAAGTCCACAAAAATATACTCTAAAATTTAACACAACAAATAAATCATTTCAAAAGAAAATCAACTCTAGGTTCTTTAGAACAACAGCAATCAATAATGTTCTTACGGAACATTATCAGTATAAAATACCACTAAGAAATTTAACATTTTCTGAGTTTTGTTTTGTTTTTTAAGAAACAGGGTGTCACTCTGTTGCCTAGGATGGAGTACAGTGGCGTGACCACAGCTCACTGCAGCCTTGAACTCCCAGGCTTAAGCAGAAGCCAGGTTAATTTTTTAATTTTTTCTAGTGACAGGGTTTCACAATGTTGCACAGATTGGTTGTGAACTCATGGCCTCAAGTGATCTTCCTGCCTCAGCCTCCCGATTGCTGAGATTACTGGCATGGGCCACCGCACCCCACACATTTTTTGATATTGAAAAACACAGAAATCACTGACATCATGTTTTATTTATTGTGAAATAAATAAATTTCAGATTTATTGATTTCACAAATCTGAAATAGCAGAGGAATGAGAAAAAGCGGGGAATGAAAAAAAGAAACCAAATATGAGAGAGGACAAACAGAGACAGGCTGGCCTAACACAGGATGTGCTCGGGACAGGTGAGTCCCCTGAGTGCCCTTTCTCTAATTTATTTTATTTTATTGTATTTTTTTTTTTTTTTTTT